TATATGTAATATCAAAGCAATCGGACTTGCTGTTTTTAACAAGAAGTCAAAAATATCACTTTTTACCAAAAATGACAAAAATATTCACCAAAAATAGAGAATTGAAGATATCAACATGAAATGAACAAATCTAAGAGAGGTCTACCCAAGGTACATATACACCAAGTATCAAAGCATTCAGGCTTGTAGTTTTCAAGAAGAAGTCGAAAAAGTAAAACATTGACACGGACGACGACGGACAATCACTCATATGATAAGCTCCGCTCGACAAAGTCGACAGCGGAGCTAAAAAAATACACTTATACAGAGTAAAGAACCTGATCAACCTCTGATAAGCGTCAGTTAAGAATTAGAATTCTATTACCTCAGCCCTATTATTCTATTACCAGCAATGGAAATTGTTTTAGGTGTGAATGGGATTGAGACTGCAGGATGTGAGCCACAGCAGACCTTGCTGGTGGTTTATTTTGTGTGTCTTTGTAATATCATTTTTATGCCACAAGCATAATGGAAATACAATCTGTGAGCATAAAACCTTCGAAGGTTGTTGATTCTGTTCAGAATTTTTGGGAGAGTTACAGCGTTTTTAATGTTTCCTACTTCCATCTACAATATTTATGAAGAGTAATATTGCTATTTTTATATTATTTTTTATTCCAGAACACGTAAAAACAAATTTATTTTATCAGTTGTTTATTTAATTGAAGAGTTAAACACCAAAACAAACCTGGCACACATCCCATCAAAGGAAAAGCCATGTTGCTAATCTCTATTTTGGTGGTCTGAGCTCAGCCTGATATACTAACAACTTACGTAAACACACATGCACTGAACAAACAAAATACACTCACCGAACTACCACTAGGACATGCCATACCACTTGGTTTCTGAATTGTTTGCCAGACTCCTCCTCGGTCAAAGGTAATCATTGAACGAATACTGGAGTCGCTATTAATTTGACTTGCGAGATACACACCACGTAACGATTCCACTTTGTAGAAGTCAGTCACAGAGTCATGATTGGGATACTGAATGGAAGAGGAAACTCAGTTATAAGAAAACGTGAAAAGTGAAGCTTGTATCACTTGTTTGATATGCTGTATTTATAAAGCTCAACAGGTGTTATAACAGCGCCCTCTATCAGCAATTCACACTACCTGGCACATAGACACGATTAATTTGCCACACCATAAATGAATGATAAAGCTTAATTTGCATTATAATCAATAATATAAAGTATGTAAATTGCTATAATCATTAGAAGGTATCTATTTGACCTATTTTTAGAATCTACAAATATCAAACCACGAGTAGATGGGGGGGGGGGGGGGTCTTGTTGGCACAGAAACAAATGTAAGACTTATGTCAACAAGAAACAATATACATTGCTCAGATTTTCTACACCAGAAATTGCAGAGACCTCACTTTGGCTCCCTATCACAGAAACCAATGCAAGACTAATTGTAAACTCCCTTTATGAATAAGAAACTTTACATTACTATTAAAAACTCCCTGGCCTAGAAACAAGCCATGCATGGCACAGTCACTGTTAGTTATCAAATTTAAGATATATAGTTCAGTTAGTGAATAGTTGGAACATAAACATGCCATAGATATGGATCCAGAAGCTAATGATTGATTATAATGATTTTTTTAACATTGAAATGATTGACACCTTGTACATGATCATCAAACGAGTACTTGTTCATATTGAGAGATATAATATCATGTATGATATATGTGTGAAGTTTGAATGTAATCAGTCCAGGCATGTCTGAGATATAGGTCTGGACACACGCATGCATTCACACATAACAAAGAGGTCAATCTATAAGTCTCTGTTTCAGACTGCATCCGACGGGGACTAATAATAAAGCCCACTGAATCTAACAGAATCAAAATTACAAGTTAGATGATTATCTTACCAGATGTCTCTCTAATGACTGTGAAAAAACAATACCATCACCATCGGATGTGAAAATTATACCATGGCCAGTGTCTGCAAGATGACAACAATGTAATGAAAACAAATCAGCCAACATGTTCACAAAATAATATGCACTAAGGACTTTGTAAAATTTGTACATCCACAACTGATATCAAGATCCAACATTGCAGAAATGCTTGATTTTAATGAATTTTTAACATTAAAATGGCTATTTGTAGCATCAAATGTGCTTATGTATTACACGTAAAATGTATAGTTTAAACAAGATCGGTCTTGACAAACAGCATTTGTTAAAACAAAATGGCCACCAATCGGCCAATTTAAATCTAATCTAAAAATAGATAGGTATCAAAGTCCAATGTAAGTAGTAAGTTAGTACAAAATCCATCAAGACCAAGATCTAGGCCTTGAACACTAAAATTTGATTGTTTGTATCAATAAACACCTGAACCCCAATAAATCAATAACAGATTTGGAAAACACAGTAAATACCACAGTACTTACCATCAGGATTATCCACATGTAAAAACACCATGCCTTCTGACATGTCTAAAATGGAGTAAAACTGACAAGACAAAACAAAAATGAAAACTTGTAAATATTTTAAATATGGATACTGCAACAATACTTTCAATCATTACATATGTACTGCAGTTTATTTTGATTCGTCCCTGAAATAAAAATTGATATTTCCACACCCCATATGCAAATGGTCTGAGAGCAAACAAAGTAGTCCTTTCAGGAGTACCGTTTTTCCGAAACAACTATTATAAAGTGGACACAAGAATGTCATCAGTCTAAACTGATACTCAATTCTAAATAAAGGTCACCAACACCAAATAAGCAACATTTTAACTGGTAACCAAGACTCATTCAATCCACGACCGGCAAGTAACATCACAGATGCTGTTGTAGCGTGCAGCTCATATCAGGTCACTCATGTGCTTGGAAAAACATTGAGGATATTGTATTGCATCGAGCATTTACATGTGACCAAAATAATTCGCTTACAGTGAAACTAATTTGAATTTTACTTGCATTTCAAAAACAAATAAGTTACTTCAATTGTGAAATGCAGCATAACAGGATTGCGCTACCGTACCGTTATGCATTTGTGTTTGTTTAATTCAAAACTTTTAGAATATACTTTTCATTATCAACAAAATTAAAAAAATAATGTATATTACATTAAATATATTTTTGTTATTATGTGAACAGTTTTTTTGATTGACTGTAATTTTTCAACATTTCGTGATGCCCATTTTAGAACCAAATTAAGGCCTTTGACTCCTCCCCGACGCCTAAATTAGAGTGATGCCTATTTACAGTTTTTTGCTTTTCGCCAGCTACAAAAACTTGATCGATGCAGCAGACTGGCCTGTGCATTTTTATCGACGCACGGTGGCACACAAATCGAGAAAATATTGTCCTTGCAACTGATCAAATTTCCCAGAATATGTCACCATTGAACTGATTGGCTGGAAAGTTTCTCAGCCAGGCCAGGAATCACAGCTTGATCTCTAAACATCATAAATGGCACATTTCCCGGAGCTCCCGCCACGATGTGAGCGACTTGGTTCGGATTAGCATACTAATTGCGGTGGCCATCTTGCCCCTATTTATAGTATCGGTTCCCCTTTAAATATACTGCAACACACTATGGTCTATGTAACATTCCATAATTCAACTAAATGTATAGTTGTAAGACTAATAGTTAACATATCTCACATTTTTATACCATTTATTTTTCTGTGTTTTACTTCATCTTAATTTTTGTATTTCTGAGAATAATATAAAATATATTTCTCACCCTATCTTTTGATATAGCTGGTATTTGTGCTTCATTCCAGGTCTGACCACTGTCTAGTGATACGTGCATCAAACGATCTTCGGTTCCCTGAAATTGATAATATGCTCAAATATTATAACAGAATATTAAAATAAACCAATAATTGTTTTCAGATTTCATTTGAATTGATATTGTAAGGAAGTCTTGAATGACATATTGATAATGCAGTTGCAGAACAATGTAAAAGTACATCTGCATTTCTTTATTGTGATATCATCTCTTTTGAACTGTGATTTGAAATTACCTTTTCAACTTCAATAGATGCAAATAGGAATTTTCCTTCAACTCCAAAAGTGAATACATCTTGGGCAATTACTGCAACAAACAAAAAGTCACTGTTAATGTTAGGTGTTTAGTGTCAATTATAACAAGCAGCCTCTTGGCTGAGATAGCTCAGTTTCAATTAGAGAATTGAAGATATCATCACAAAATTAACAAATTTGAGAGAGGTCCACCTGCTGTACCTGAGGTCCATATCCGAAATTACAGAAATGTTTGATTTTGATGAATTTTTAACATTAAAATGACCAAAATTCAATCATCTTGAAATGGACCACGAAACGAATGAATGTGCACATGTGCAAAATGATGGTGACATGTTGATTTTTCAGTGTTTACTTTTCATAGGAGGAAACTGATAGTTCACATCAATCATCAGAGTTTATGTGGTGCAGCCGAAAATTATCCAGGAATGTCTGAATATTTGCTTTTGTGAATGCAACACAGAAGTGTTTTATCAATTTTGAAGTATAATCTCTTGCCATTGATTAAAAACAGGAAATTATTCATTGTAAGTATAATGCAAATAACCATTTTAATCTTATTATTATAGTTGCACATTTACTTTCGTAGATGAAAGGCCTAAGGTCAAAACAACAAGACATGAAATGTCACAGTAGTCCCCGTTATTTGATTATAAAGTATAGGTAGTACAAGGAACATCTGCAAACAGGTGAATAAAAATGTACTCTTTGTGGGTACAACTCATCATAAAGTGATTTCCCATAATCTAGTTTTGTACTGACAACTAAAAACTTCCACTGACCCATGTTCAGAATCTCAGAGTACACAAGTGCAACAAAACTATTTGTCATACATGTATACTTGCTCAAGAAACTGCATTCATAAATCTGAGTGAACCTTGATGTACATGACTTCTTTGTTAATCAAGTCTTAGTATATTACCAGGATCTGGGTTTGTTTCAACATCACCACTGGGCATCAGATTCATTCTCATGTTGTCAAATACAATTTGTTATTAACACAGTAAGGTTTATTATTTAAAATGTATTCATTGTACATAGAAAAACATCTGTTAATTAAAACAAGTGTAAAAGCTTTCAGAGCAAGTACATGTA